ATTTTTGTATGTTGGAATTTAACGGTAGAAACGAGTCGTTTCAATTTTTCGAGAGATTTCGTTTTAATTGTTCGAGAAGATAATTTAGATAGAAGATAGAAACGAGGTTAAATGTTTTCATAAGTTCGAATTTGACGGTAAAAACGAGTTTGTTTCAATTTTAGTTCCAATTGTTTTTATCTGAGAATTCGCGGAGAATATTTTTGTAAGTTCTGATTTGATCACAATCTTTCAAACGAATCACGGGATTCTAGGTAGGTTTCGCTTGGAATTTTTTTTCAAAGAGAAAGATTTTCATTTCAATCCTACCTGCCCGCGTTTCCATTCGTATATATTTAATATCTTCCCACATCGATTCCCTTAGCTTCTTTCATTTCCTTAATTTCAATATCTAAAAACACCGTCGAACAACGGCCTCTCGATCATTCCGAAAAAATGTGCGCGTATATTCGAAAAAAGGGGGAAAAATGGATATGGATCGAGTCCAAAAGTGGAAGAACGGGCAAGTGGTAGGGAAATAACGCGGTGCGCAACAATTTGAAAAGCTTCGCCACCGCCAAAAGTCAAGCAAAACTCGCGCGAACAAACACGCGAACGAAGCTCGCCGATATTCCCGCCCCTATGCTTCATCATTCGCGTGGATAAAATGGACTTTGGCGCCACCCCCGTAATTCAGACAGATGGATAGATAGATAGATAGAGCTTGTTAATAATAATACTCTCCCGCCAACTTTTCTCTTTTTCGTCCTTGGGAGTCGACAGATGCGAAATCGAGATCGTTAGAAATCGTCCTCTTCCTTGCTCCTCCCTTTCGCCCCGACTTGGACAAATTACTCCAGTTAATGCAGTGTTTTATAGGCATCGTATGAAAAGCTTTACTGTGAAAAATAGGTAATCGATGGCAGGCCGGCTTAGCCGGGATACGCTCGGGCTCTTTGGATTGATTTTTCAATTAAAACGGCTTCCACCGAAAATCCATCGCGCCTTTTAATGATTCTTTTGATTTTTTCCCCCTCCTCTTTTTTCGTTAGCACGCTCGATAGTCGAGCTTCGTTTTTTTTTTTTTTTTCTTTTTCTTTTTAATTCCTCGAACGAGATTCGAACTTGTAATCGTTTGATATCGATTGTATAAATGTTTCGATGATGAAAATATAAAAAAAAAAAAAAAATGTAACGTCCTAATATTCATTCGACGATATACACCGAGTTAATAACTCAATAACAACTTAACAACCGCGTGTTAAAATTTTCGATGCTGCAACAGATGGCGCGAGAATGATGCGATAAAAATATATTCCATCGTGATAAAATGCATGGAGAAAAAGCTGTTAAATATTAACTCGTATTTACTAAAGAAATATATTTTTAACAGTCAATTAATTTATTCTTAAAGATCGTGTGATTTTATCCCGAGAAAACATCGCAAATTGTGCACCCACTCTAACGCGATATAATCGATCATCCATGGTGAACAAACCATGTCCTCGCGATCTTCCAAATTACGATATTTCACGAGGCACGTGAACACGTGAAAATCCTATAATTCTCCACGCAACATACCGTCACGGTACAAACTGCAAAACGGATCGCGCTAATATTGCCTACAACAATTCCTTGCTCGCGTTGAAACGTCATGTCCGGGCGAGGAGGAGGTTTCGTGATTCCAGACAGTTTGGAATTTCTCGAATTGCATCACGTACAAAGCATCACGCGTTGATGCCGAACGAAAAGCATCGGCCGATACCCCCCGTCCATTGCTTCAACAACGATTAATGTAAACATTTCGAAACAATCTACAAATGTAACGTTTATCGAAAGATAAACAAATCCATTAGAGCTTCTCGATTGGATTTAACGTGAAGAATTGTTGTGCGTTTGATTAAAATTCGTGTCGAATTTAAAAAAAAAAAAAGAAAAGAGAGAAACAATTCTTTGAAAATAAATTTCACTCGTACTCGCCGCGTAACAAGGTGTTTAAATTCCATCTGTTAATTAATTTTACGCGTGAAAATATTTGTTTAAAACGTTTTCTTGCTCGATGTGTATATATATATATATATATTCCATGGATGAACGATTTCAACTAAATACCGATCGTTAAGAGAGGATGGAGTTTTCATTGCGCCGTGTCATGAATTATTCAACCGATACGCGAATTTTAAAGAGTATGTGCTAAAACGCGTATACCGAATTCTTGATTCATTGCCACGTGTTATTCGAGCCGAACATTTTTCACAACTATTATATTTTCACAACTAATAATTCGTGAAATAAACAGAATTTCCGCGTTTTCCACCCGCAAGTGAAGAAATGTTGTATCGCGAGAAGACGAGTGTCACATCTCCTTCTCGTTCGTTTTTTTTTTTCTAATCTCATCTTCGATCCAGGAAATTTTTACAAAACTCGTTCGCAAATTCATTCGTAATTTCGATTCAACCGATCCCCGCGCAAATTTCTCACGGCGTGCCTGCCTGAATACACTTTGAGACGTTACTCGATGCAAGCGAAATATATTTACACCGAATATCACACGTCATTTAAACACCATACGTTTTCATTAATTTCACCAAAACGTTCAATTTGCCTTTATAATAATAATTCATGTCAAACAGGTGCGCGTGACACGTGTACAACATTATTTCTACGCATATAAAACCACCATTGAAATTGTCGAATCGAGTCCTCCTTTGTTCGTATATATCGAGATTGAAATTAGAATTTTAATAATCCCGCCCAATTTTCTTCGTATCGCGACGATCGGAAGGAGGCCAAGAAGAAGCCAAGAAGAACGCGCGTTGTCCACGTTTTCCCTTTCCTTCCATCATCCCTTTCGCGCCAACTTTTCGCGAGAGATACGGGAAAATAAATTCCGCTTAAAGTTGGCTTTAATTTATCGCGGTGGCACAGAGCAACGGGAATTTCCAACGGGATTTTCGACCGATCTTAGCGTTTCCACCAGGAAAGGGGATTTTACACGAGCGGATGACGGTATTATCTTTCGGGTTGGCGTTAATTTAAAATTACCGGGAGAGAGAGAGGGCATTGAGAGACCACGACGCGAAATAACGAGCGGGCCGGTAATTTGGGGATCGTTAATAGGAAGCGTCGTTAATTTACCGTTTCATTTATTCCCCTCCCCCTCTCCGTTTAATTATAATTACCGCTTTATTTATCCGTCACGGTTTGTCCTTGCCGCCTCGTAATTGGCCCCCTTTTTCCAGGCCAGGATTATCCGGCTCGGTTATTCGGCGATCGATCGATCGATCGATCGAGGCAGATGCAGATGTTTCGACGCTTCGGTTAATTTAAGTTTGGGATAAGACAGAGAACGTTGGATTTCGATTTTCTATTGCAGAAACAAGCGGTAAAAATGATTTGATCTTTCTGCTGGAATTGTGTTTTTATCGACTTAAATCGATGATTTAAATTCATGATTGTAATATATTTGTTACGAATTATTGAGTTATCGAAATTGCTGGTAAAAGGCATTGAAATCTCTCTCTCTCTCTCTCTTTCTGTATAATTTGATAGATGACGCGAAAACGGGAAGATATACCGTTATTATCGAAAGAGTGGAGACTATTTTATAAAGTGTTTCTTCGTCCATGCCGGTTCTCTTAATCACGGTGCATTAAGCACTTCATTAAGTCGAGCCAACCGAAGCAGAACATACTCGAAAAGAAAAGGAAAAAAAAAAGAAAAGAAAAAATTCGCTTTCACGAATTGAAGTGAGATAGAGGGACCGTCGTTTAATTTCCTTTCAGAAAGTCATACGGAACGAAAGCTTCGCGGTTCATTTCATTCTTTAATCAGACATCTCCTCCTCTGGTTCAGCTTCAATTTGCAAGACGCTATTATTTCCTCTCTCTCTCTCTCTCTCTCTTCTTT